TAGTAAAATATTTTTCAATCATTTATTAAAATCCGGGATCCCTGGGTGGCGCAGCGGTTTGGCGCCTGCCTTTGGCCCGGGGCGCGATCCTGGAGACCCGGGATCGAATCCCATGTCGGGCTCCCGGTGCATGGAGCCTGCTTCTCCCTCTGCCTCTCTCTCTGTGACTATCATAAATAAATAAAAATTAAAAAAAATAATAATAAAATAAAATAAAATAAAATCCGGGATCCCTGGGTGGCGCAGTGGTTTGGCGCCTGCCTTTGGCCCAGGGCGCGATCCTGGAGACCTGGGATCGAGTCCCACATCGGGCTCCCGGTGCATGGAGCCTGCTTCTCCCTCTGCCTGTGTCTCTGCCTCTCTCTCTCTCTCTCTCTGACTATCATAAATGAATAAATTGAAAAAAAATTTAAAAAAATCATTTATTAAAATCCTTAGAGTTATCAGATGGAGAAGGGTGGAGGTACTTTTCCAGAGCAATTTCACATATGCAGAAAAGTGTTTGCAGATACTCTGTGAGCCAGTGGGAGAGGTTTCCAGAGGGTCCACTGATCAGAGAACAGGATGCTCTATGGGAGCTCAGGAGATGCTTTCCCACCCTGAGGAGGGCCACAGTCACCAGAAACTACTTCCTCCTGCTTCCTGCTAGGAGAAAGCTGACCGTGGCAGGGCAGTGTCTTCACGCAGACATCCCCCAAGCTATTCTTCTGAGGCTAAGCATTTCTCTTGGGGCAGGCTGGGCATAAGGGTCATGAGGATCCAAAAGACCCTGGTCAGTCCAAAGAAACAGTGGCCCTCTCAACCAGCATTCTTTTTCCACCTGAGGCCACTGAGGCAGCCCATCATCCCCCACCCTGACCCAGATGGCCTCCTCTGTCCTCCTCAGGAACAGGGGGCCACAGAACTTCTTGCCTGATGGATTTGAAAGTTGGCATACAACTACTCCCCACCACTCCCACATACTGAATACCCACATGCAAACGGGCACACACATAGACATCTGCAGAGACACACACCACATACTTCCACATATGCACATAAATGCCAAACACAAGATCACACTCAAATACAATCACCCCAAGTGCCCACGCATGCCTTCCATAAACACTAAAGACAGTCATGTTCATATACAGTTCTACACACACATACACACTTCAAGTATTCTCTCCTTATTGACTTTATATGCACAGTTATGTACCACATGCTGTGAGGTGCTGCTCAGATCCCCTGGGCCCTCTTTCCACTGAAAAGAGGTATTGATCCCCCAGGTGTTGATCATAACAGGGCTCCCCAAAAAAGCCATGAGTCTGTGTGGGACTCTCCCTTTCATTCAGCATCTTCAGTCTTCTGGACAGGGGAAACCAGCTCTTTTCTCCCTGCAGCCTCAGGGCTGACCCACAGCATCTATCCTAAAGCCTGGGCCTGGAGCAGAAGGCCCTAGAGGATTCCTGAACAGGCTACCAAAGGGCTGACTCAGGGCTGGGAACAGGCTGAGGACCCTCCCAAATATCTGTAACTGGTGCTGAAGTCGGTAAAAGGGATCTACCCTTCATCTGTGCTTTGGAGTCCAGTCTGAAACTCCAGCTGGCTATGCAACCTTAGACAATACTTCCCTCTTCTGGCCTCAGATTTTCCATATATGTAGCAGGAAGCCTGCATTGGAGACACAGCTTCCTGTAACATCTACGAAGGGCTGGCGAGAGGGCAGCCCAGGTGGCTCAGCGGTTTAGCACCGCCTTCAGCCCAGGGTATGATCCTGGAGACCCAGGATGGAGTCCCATGTCGGGCTCCCTGCATGGAGCCTGCTTCTCCCTCTGCCTGTGTCTCTCATGAATAAATAAAATCTTAAAAGGGGCGGAGGGGAGGCTGGCGAGGTATGGTTTAGATGTGCTATTCAAAATGTGGTCCACTTGCAGCAGCATTGGTCTCACCTGGGAGTTTATTAGACTAGCAGAATTGCAGGCCCCTCCCATGGTCTACTGAATCAGATATTGCATTTTAACAAGATCCCTCTGTGATGCTGATGCACATCACAGAATGAGAAGCACTGTCCCAAATGAGCTCTGAAAACCTTTCAGTTTCTAGAGTTCAATAAGCATCAACTTTAACAGGATTGGAGTAGAGAACACGTGGCTTTTGGTTGAGAGGAATTATTGATTTTCCAGCAAAGCTTTGTCAATCCATGGTGATGAGATCTCTGATTTCCACAGCTAGAGTTGAACCCTCCCTCCTGGGCCCTCCCTGGCTCCCTCTTCTCCATCTGATCTTTGCCATGTTTGCCTCCTCCTCTTAGCTCCTTTAAAAGGTAGCTAGTGTGAACCCTTTGCGCTGTTGTCTTGGTCCCTTCCTTGAGACTCCTGCCCAGAGTAGACATGTAGCTGAAGTTGTTGCTACCACCTAGGAAGACTGGGTGATGGCCACACCTAGGGAGAGTGGGTTCACAAGCTGGAAGGACCTGGGTTCCTGAGGACTTTGTTGGCACAAATGTCATGCCAGCCCTGGGCTACCTATCTCCAGATTTTTTTTTAAGTTTTTTTTTTTTTTATTTATTCATGAGAGACACAGAAACACAGGCAGAGGGAGAAGCAGACTCCTCACAGGGAGCCTGATGTGGGACTCCATCCTGGATCCCAGGATCATGCCCTGAGCTGAAGGCAGAAGCCCAACCGCTGAGCCACCCAGGCATCCCTATCTCTAGATTTTTATGTCAGAGAAGTAAAGTGTATCTTATTTAAGTCAATTATTTGGGGTCTCTACTACTTAAGACAATCCCAATTTTTTTAGTTCTTTTAAGATTGTATTCATTTATTTGACAGACCACAAGCAGCAGGGGGAGCAGCAGAGGGAAAAGGAGAAGCAGGCTCCCCAGACAATCCCAATTTTAACTGATATACTGGCAGTTACTTTGAACTCCCTTCCACCTCTTCCTGCATGTAATCACTAACCCCCTTTTATCTGCCTCTGTGATATGGCCCAGATCTGTAATCTTTTGTCCAACATTACTACTTCCACTTGAACTTAAACAATCAGAATTTCTTACCTGGATTACTCAGCCTTCTTTCTACCTAGTCTCCCTATCACATAAGGGTTGTCCCTTTCCATCTATCTTTCCTATCAGTAACCCAAATTAGCTGTCATATGAGAAAGTTAAATATATTTATATATATTATTATATTTATTTATTATTATATGTATTATATATATTTATTTATATATATTTAAATATATATCTATGAGAACAGTATAACAAATACACCCAAAATGACCATTGTTAATATTACTTGTAATTTTTTATGAAGCAAATATGACAAAGTTGTGTCATTCCCTCCATAAGGGCAAACACCTTCCTATACTCTCCTGTACTGAAATGTATCCTTGGTGTATGTTTTTTTCAGACTTTTACATACATTTACAAATGAATACGTGAAATGATTTTGCTTATATTAAAATTTTACCTAAATGAGTCTGCAACTTGCTTTTTTTTTTATGTTTTTGAGGCTTGAGCTCACTTACATGTAGCTCTATAGCACTCCATCACATGACTATAAGAGCACATCTATATAACTATTGATGAGCAACTTGGCTGTTTCCTGTGTTTTTCTTTTATGAACATTGCCTCACTAATATCCTATACATGTTTGAGGTCTCGAAGGCTATACCTGGAAGTAAAATTGCTGGATCTTAAGATAGTGATTGTTATGGGTCAAAATGCATCCCCCCAAAATATAAGTTTAAGTTCCAATCCCAGGTACCTGTGATTTGCAAGCTGGGTCTCTACAGATGTAATCAATTTAAGATGAAACCGTCACTGTAGGCCCTGATCCAATACGATTCATGTCCTTGAGGAGGAGAACAGACCCAGAGATACACACAGGGAGAGAATACAATGTGAAAACAGAGGCAGAGATTGAGTGATGTGTCTATAAGCCAAGGACCTGCTTGGTGGCAAGGATTACCAGCAACTGCCAGAAGCTGGAAGAAGGCAGGGAACAGATTCCTATCCCAGAGACTCCAGAAGGAACGAAACCTGCTGACATCTCGATTTTGGGCTTCTAGCCTCTCGAACTGTAAAAGAATAAATTTCCATTGTTTTAACCATCCAGTTTGTAGCATTTTGTTAGAGCACCTGTAAGAAGCTAATCTAGTAGTGGAATGGAAAGTTGTGGCCTATGGGAGCACAGGCTGAGGTCAGGGAGAGAGCAGATGAATCTGAGACAGTCGCTTGGGGCTGGGCTGGGAAGGGCCTAGAATATGACCTCAGGCAATGAGATGCCACAGAAGACAAATTGGCAAGGGACACGGTTCTATTTGGGGTTTAGAGAAGTATCTGAGAAACAGCTATTCTTGAGAGCTGACTTGTTTGAATCATTCTAGTTCTGATATCTCAAATTTATTCACTTTTTTCCTTTAAAACTGTTTCATTCCATTCCACACACAACTGTAAGGATTTGACTGACAAACACAAGTTTGTCATTAAAAACCATGCATTATCTTGCGCTACTACACCAGGCCGTTCTTAGACATAATCAGCTAATCTCAATCATCACAAATACCCCCACGAGATGGGCCTGTTATCCTCTACAAACCAGGGATAAAGAAAGATTCAGGAAGAAGGTCGGTGATTTGCACTTAGGGAAACAGCTTGCTAAAGTCTGAGGATTGGCCACCATGGGCACTGGCTGTACGGCCGATGGCAAATTACTCTCACCTACATCGGTGTATGTTTTCCCAGCTCTCGAGTTGGCATAATAGCTGCTACCTCTACAGTCGGGTCTGTCGTGATTACACAAAAGCTTTTCAGGCGCTGCGAACCGCGATACAACGCGGGGTCACAGTTCTCCGGGACCACGTGGCCCTGGGCGAGCCGACTCCCAGGCGAGCCCGCTCGCGGCTCAGAGGAGGCGGCCGCGCCGAGGCGCCCCTGCCGCCAGGGTGCGCTGTGACGACGTTCGCGCCGGCGGGCGGCCGCTCTAGCCGCCCGGGTAAGTCGCTGTCCTTACCTCCCGCGGGAGCCCGCGCCTGCGTGTCTGCGCCCGCTGGCCTGCGCTCCGTCGTGCAGCTGCCCACTGCCTTCTCGCCGCCCAGCATGGCCCTGTTGCACTCCGGCCGCGTCCTGTCTGGGGTCGCCGCCGCCTTCCACCCAGGCCTCGCTGGTGCGGCTTCTGCGAGAGCCAGGTAAGCCGGGGAGACGGACACGGAGCTGGGGACGACGGGCCTGCCCATCCGGGCTGCCGGCGCCCCAGGGCATCTAACCCCCCCAGCCCCCAAGCACAGGCACCATACACACACTTTCTCTGACACCCCCTCGGCTTCAGTGGGGGCTGATAATTGAGCGTCGGCGCCTCAAAGTGACCCTCGGGGTCTTACATCCCCATCCCTCCCCTCCCTTGTCCCCGGGACCGCAGGACAGCGTGCCAGCGCATTCCCCCGGGTTCGGAGTCTACGGCCCTCTACAGCACCCGGACTCCCATTCAGGGTTTGGGGGGTCACGAGACGCGGATTCGGCGCCGTGGGGGCGGGGGCCGGGGGGGTGGGGTGAGGTGGCGAGGGGAAGGCTCTCGCGGCTGCGGTGCCCGGCCGGCCTGGCGCCCATTGGCTGCGCCGCCGAGGCTGCCTTGCGCGGATTGGCTGCGGCGCGCAGGGCCGGGTGCCCTTGGTGCGCTGCCCTGGGGCGCGCGGCGGGGCTCACCTGTCGTGGCCTCCCTCGGGCAGGAGCGGGGTTGCAGGGCCGCGGCGTGCTTCTGGCCGTGGGCCGCGGGAAAGGAAGTACAGGGCAGGAAGGCCCCCGGGGCCCTGGCTTTCAGGCCCAGCTCTCGCTTCTGCATCCCCTGACCTTGGTGCGTGGCATCCTCCCTCCTTCCCCCTCCTCCGTGTTACCACCAGAGTCCCCGGTGACCCCTGGACCATGTGGCCTTCGCATGGAAAAGGTTCAAGGGGTAGTTCACCTCCTTTTTGTTTGGCTATAGGGAAGTCACCGCTCTTCCTCTCCGCCTCTCTGTGCTCTCATTTACTAAATATTTCGTCACAGTCTCTCAGAGCCAGGTGCTAGGCCAAATGATAGAGGCAGTGGTGAACAAGTGACGGGTGTCACTCAAGACATTTACAAATATGTAACTTCACACTGTGCTAAGTGTTGCAATAAGAAAGTATGGAGTTTAAAACGAATTAGTAATTCCTTCCTAGTGAAGACCCAAGCCAGGCGATTAAGTGACTCAAGAAGGCAGTTTGAGACTGTATGCTTAAGTACCACCTAATGAGGAGCCTAGTCTCCAGCCCACCACGGGCCAGATACTGATTACAAGGAGCAAAGCCTTGGCCTGTTCTGTGTGCCTTGATTGTATGCATGTCATCCTCAACCGGCAGAACAGTTTGTCCCTTACACAGCCTCACACTCTTGGCAGTACAGTTTTGCTTGGGCTTTCACACTTTGTCTATCCCTGATTTAGTTCCTCCTTGGCACTCTCTCAAGGTGTGCTCTCTAAGTCAGCCTACCTAGTGGACCAGAATTAGGGAGAAGAGAAAGGGGTGCCTAAAGTTATGGGCAAGAGAAAGTCTTGCAATATTGTAGTGGTCTTAAAAGTAATTATTGTTTTATAGATTTGGCTGGGTGGCCTAAAGCTTTACTTAAAGTGCTTGGTGCATATCCCTATGGGTGTGACCTTTTAGTCATTCTTTGAGTTTGAGTGGCTGACTCATTTTTCTTTTCAGTCTTTTCACAATGAGAATGTAAGTTCCATGAGAGCAGAAACCTTAATGACTTTGCTCACTACTGTAAAGTCTTAAAGTAGTTGAGCATCTGCAGCTGAGAAGATGCTTTCAGATTTAAGCAATGATACATGATTGGGTGATAGAGCCAGCTGCCATATTTGGCCATGACAGGTAACCCTTCCGACAACAAGGAAATGAGAACCTTCACTGCTGCCACTGTAGAAGTGATCTTGACCAAAGTATATTTTTTTAAGATTTTATTTATTTGTGAAAGACACAGAAGGAGAGAGACAGAGACATAGGCAGAGGGAGAAGCAGGCTCCATTCAGGAAGCCCGATGTGGGACTCAATCCCAGGACCCTGGGATCACGCCCTGAACCAAGGGAGACACTCCTCAACTGCTAAGCCACCCAAGCATCCTGATCTTTACCAAAATCTAAAGTTTATTTAAAGTAAACTCAACTAATTTAAATTTCTTTATTTTTTTAAACAGCCCATTTTTATACAATTCAATCTTGGCAGTCAGCATTCTGAAGAACTGAGGGTTAATCCTATAAAATACTTAATTGGTGTTGAGTCTTTTTTTTTTTTTAAGATTTATTCATGAGAGACATGGCGGGGGGGTGGGGGGGTGGGGGGGCAGAGACACAGGCAGAAAGAGAAGCAGGCCCCATGCAGGGAGCCCGATGTGGGAGTCGATCCTGGGACTCCAGGATCAGGCTCTGGGCTGAAGGCAGCGCTAAACTGCTGAGCCACCCAGGCTGCCTGGTGTTGAGTCATTTAAATGGAACTCTTAAGTTCAAATGTTTCATTTAGCTGTATTATTTGTTGTAAGATTTTATTTATTCATGAGAGAGAAGCAGAGACACAGGGAGAGGGAGAGGCAGGCTCCCTGCAGGGAGCCCAGTATGGGACTCCATCCCCAGACCCTGGGATCACACCCTGAACCAAAAGTAGACACTCAATCACTGAGCCACCCAGGCGCCCCCATTTAGCTGTACATTTTATTTTATTTTATTTTATTTTATTTTATTATTTTATTTTATTTTATTTTATTTTATTTTATTTTATTTAAGATTTATTTACTTATGATAGACATAGAGAGGCAGAGACACAAGAGGAGGGAGAAGCAGGCTCCATGCTGGGAGCCCGACATGGGACTCGATCCCGGGACTCCAGGATCGCGCCCTGAGCCAAAGGCAGGCGCTAAACCACTGAGCCACCTAGGGATCCCCATAGCTGCACGTTTTAAACAGAAAGCACTCAACATTTAACCTTTTCTGGTTGACCGTGCTGTGAAAACATAGTGACATGAAATCAGGCTTAGTCCCAGGTCAGTAAAGAAAGGGAAATATGCTAATGTATCTTGATTTATAATGATCTGTTCTTAATTATCCTGATTATTTTTTAGGGAAATAAGTGAAGGCATATCATGAGACCCTTTAGAAAGGCAGTGTGCAATAGTGGTATAATAGCCAGTAGTTAGAAGATCAAAATTGTAGTATCATCTTTGCCATTTTTAGCTCTGTGATCACGAGCAAATTAATTCACTTCTTTTCATATTTTAAAATAAGAATGTGAGGGAAAGCATTTTTTTTAAACTATAAAGCACCAGACAAGTTCCCAGAAAAAAATGCAAGGAATTAGAAAGGCTTATCTGAATAGTTTGTATCTAACATCTTTTCGTTTGCTAGTCAACATTGCTCAATGACTCCGGCTTTACACTTAAGTCCGAAGTACATTGGCAGGAGTCTGTTTGTAGGCCACAGGTTACCAGCATCATTTTTGTCACATCTTGTGTTCATCTATTACTATTCCATTTATTCATTTATTTATTTATTGTAAGATTTTATTTAGGGATGCCTGGGTGGCTCAGCGGCTTCGCATCTGCCTTCGGCTCAGGGCATGATCCTGGCTGGGATCGAATCCCACATCGGGCTTCCTGCATGGAGCCTGCTTCTCCTCTGTCTGTGCCTATGCCTCTCTCTGTGTGTCTCTCATAAATAAATAATTTTTTTTAAGATTTTATTTATTTATTCATGGCAGAGAGAGAGAGAGGCAGAGGGAGAAGCAGGCTCCATGCAGGGAACCCGACGTGGGACTCCATCCTGGGTCCCCAGGATCACACCCCAGGCTGAAGGCGGCGCTAAACCGCTGAGCCACCAGGGCTGCCCAATAAATAAAATATTTAAAAAAAAAAAAAAAGATTAGAAAAAAAAAGAGTGGTGCCTTCCGTCCTTGGGACAGCAGTCTTGTCATTGTTTTTTGTTTTGTTTTTGTTTTGTTTTAAATATTTATTTACTTATTCATGAGAGACATACAGAGGGAAGCAGAGACATACTCAGAGGGAAAAGCAGGCTCCATGCAGGAAGCCCGCTGTGAGACTCAATCCCCGGCCCCGGGATCACCCCTGAGCCAAAGGCAGATGCCCAACCACTAAACCACCCAGGCATTCCAAGTCTTGTCATTGTTGATTAAAGGCCTTAGAAACAGAGATATCTTTTTTATTTTATTTTTTTTAAGATTTTATTTATTCATGAAAGACTGAGAGAGGGAGGCAGAGACAGAGAAGCAGGTTCCCTGCAGAGTAGGAAGCTCGATATGGGACTTGATCCCAGGACACCGGGATCACATCCTGAGCCAAAGGCAGATGCTTAACCAACTGAGCTAACCAGGTGCCCAGAGATATCTTTTTTAAAATGATAATTGCTTACTGGAAGTTTTCTATATGTCCTTGACATTCAGAGTATTCTTTTCACTCATCAGTGGCAGGTGGCTACATGTTTTGAGAGTCTGAATTGTGGGTAGGAAATAAAGGAAGCTTTCTTCAGGCCCAGTTCAGCAATCACTTCAAGGTATCTCTTTCTTACTTTTGCTTAGAGACTGGAAAAACTAAGCAGCCTACAACAATGAAAAAAGAAGAGCGAGATAGTGAGTCCTGGCAATAGAGCTAGTAAGGGGGAAGAATGGTAATAATGTCTTATAAGATTGTAAAAAAACTAAGTAGAAGTAATTGAAAAGCAAGAAAGACCTGTATTTAGTCATAAAGTTATGACCATATGCTTCTTGAATTATCTACATATTTGCCTCACCAGACACCTTACTAGTGGCACTATAGTTATAAATGAAAACATACAAGTAATAACTTAGGAGTGTTGATACTAACATCAAGCACTCGCTCTGCTCCAGGCCCTGAGTGTTTTAGATTTAATAACTCCTTTCACTCCTAACTCTGGGAAACTCCTAACTCTGGGGAGGAGGGCGGGGGGTGGGGGTGAATGGGTGACGGGCACTGAGGGGGCACTTGATGGGATGAGCACTGGGTGGTATTCTGTATGTTGGCAAATTGAACACCAATAAAAAATAAATTTATTATAAAAAATAAAAAAATAACTCCTTTCATCCTTATAACATCTCTGTAGGAGAGGGACTCATGCCCTCATTTTTCAGATCAGGAAAGTTGAGAC